TTTACAAACTGAGATTAGCCTACTAATCCCAACTCTAAGCAATACCTCCTATTACTTAGATGAGCCAAAGCGGATACAACACCGCCCACTATACTAATCCTAACCGATTAATATAGACTTTTAGAGTAAGAACCTAAGTTACCCTTAACCTAGTTCTTACAATGATTCAAACAAGTTTGAAACGTTTCTTTCACAAAACGAATCCTACAATGTAAGCACTATTACAAGCAAACAAAGTAACAGCTGGTACACAAAGCTCTTGAAGTAATCGATCAGATCCCTTGTTGTTCTTGAAGCTCTTGAAGTAATTGATCAAGTCCCTTGCTGTTCTTGAAGCTTGAAAGACTCTCTCTTTGAATGAATTGATGATATTGTTGTCTTTTGTTTAGTATATACCACAAAAAGTTATTACCAAACGTACAAGCAACCTCATTGCTTCTGATTGGTGAAGTACTCTGCAGCTTCTGACGCAGACAGCTTTTACAGCTGTACCGCACTTTGACACTGGACGAGCATACTCTGCAGAGGACCAGGTCCCTGCACTTGTGAGGAGATCATCAAAACACCAAAAGGCATAAGCTCTTATCAATTTCCCCCTTTTTGATAATGACAAACAACCTGCTTGATGATGACAAACAACCTGCATAACTCCTCACGTGAGTGAACAGACATTCATTCAAATACATAACAAATTCCCCCTTTGTTAGTGCACCAGTAACAACCACAGTTCATTCCCCCTTAGTTCAATGCCCCTAACAACCATAGTTCGTTCCCCCTTAGTTCAGTGCCCCCTATTCCACAACCAACTTTACAACAAAACTTCCCCCTTTTGACATCATTAAAAAGGTGAAGCAGTAAACATATTCAAGTTAAATGCAAGGCAATAAAGAATTCAGGGCCTTGGGCCACACAGAACATGTGTATGTAAGCATAAAGAGAATATTAAGCCACACATGAACAGGGGAGAAACATAAATAGCATTAGATCACAAATACTGACCACTGTAGTCAAGCAAAACAAACACAAAGCCACAAGAGTTTTAATCAGGATTGAAGAACAAAAAGGGAAACTAAGGAAACAAGACACTTTTAGGACGGAAGGGGAAATGGATTGATGGTGCGTAGAAACAGAGACAGATGCTCATTTGCATCCTCATGAGCCTTGATAAGCTGCATGTTAAGAGCCTTAACTTCCTCACTGGGTGATGTATTTGTCTTCAACAACCTTTCATTTTCATCCCTCAACTTTTTCAACACCTGCTCATTTCCATCGTTGGTACCAGGTCCCCTCGAAACCGCATTCTGTAATTCAGACCTTAGTGAAGTGATTTAAATCTCGTTGTTATTCAGAATCTCAGTAAGATCAGTCACTTCCTGTTTAAGAGCAGCCTGCTGCGCTAGAACATCTGCCACTTAAGATCTGCCCTAGCTTTTCCTTCAACACAATCACATTCCAGCATAATGGCAGGGAGGTTGATCTCTTCAAGTTCATCAAGCTTCTCCATGAGAAAAAGATCAGCAGTAGATGCCACTGTTCTCTTTTTCAGTTCTGGGCACTAACACCTTGTTGATGAACTCAAAAAGCAACTGATGGAGATAGCAAAAAAAAAGATTTGACATTCTAAATTTGGTTAGAATGTCAGGGTCAAAGACTCTGCCATTCAAAACCTTTTGATTCTCCATTGCCGTTATCCTCTCCTCCCTTGTCATTTTCTTTTCTTCACTTTGATTTTGCACCCTAGAACCTGGTCCCTTTATGAGTTATAATTTTCAGCCACCTGTTTTCTAACTGTCTCCCTTTTCACATGAGATTTCTTTACTGCCTTCTGGAGTAAAAAAGGAGAAGTTGAATGAACTAAGATTTTCAACTTCTTGGGAGATAGGGATCTTTGAAGAAGAATTAGAGTTAGACATTTTGAGAAAGAGAGAAAAGCTTTTGGAAAGGGGATTAGTGAATTTCAACAAGAATTGTTTGATGAGATTTTGTAATTTGATTCACTAAGAGAAGTAGTATATAAAACCAAAAAGACTTCGAGTCTTCAATAGTAGCAACCTTTGGTTTAAAAGCGAAAAGACATCTGAAACTGACGCGATGAATGGGCGAGGGACATGTGGCAGTGATGTTGACATACAGACAGTGTAGTGTAAGTGATACTAACCTCAGCAGGACCAGGTCCCCTTTTCAGTTTGCAACCCTGTCCGTATGATTTAATCTTCCCTTCAGCTAGACACACCATGAGTGTATACCTACATTAAGGTACCAGAAGTGAATTCTTAAGTGACAAGCATTAAAACAAGTATAGATACCTGCCCTCCGTAACATAATCAAAATAGAAGATTTTTGTGCAAACTTGTCACGAAATCAGGTAATCTTGTGCATCCTCAGCCTCATCTTACTTTTAATGAAACATTTTTTACTCAATGACTTTGTAAAGATATCAGTCAGCTGGTCATCAGTCTTACAGAACTTCATCACCACATTTTGCTTCTCAACATTGTCCCTCAGGAAATCAGTGATGATACAAGAAAATGTGTCATGCCTGATGTACTCTTTCGATCTACAAGAAAGCCTGCATAGTCAGCATCTGCAAAACCAATTAGATCAAGTGAGTCACCTGTTAGGTAGAGGAGGACCAGGTCCTGAGTTCCCTTCAAGTATCTCAGGATTCGTTTAGCTGCCTTTAGATGGGATTCCTTTGGTGCTGCTTGAAATCTTGCACTCATTCCTCAACTCCATCTTCATTTAAGTCAAGCTTCACACTTGTGCTTATGGAAGTGTCAAGAACTTTTGCCTCAATCGAATTGAACTTTCAAAGCAGTTCCTTGATGTATTTCTCTTGACATAAAGGCTGAATATGCAACTAGATTTCTTGTCTTGGATCTAGTTTGAATTCCAGAGTCAAGTGAAGAGATGAGATTGTCCAATGGATGTGAGAATTGATGTTTCCATCCGGACTTTATGATCAACTCTTCTTCGATTTCAGCATCAGATTCAACATCATCAGCTTCATGATTTTGAGATGGAACCTTCTGGGTAGTATCAGAGGGACCAGGTGCTCCTGTGAGATCTGCAGCAATTTCCTTCGCAGCCTGTTTGTTTCCAGGATTTAGGATATCCTTGTCTTCCCTTTCCTTGATCAGCTCCTTCATCTCATGGTCTCCCTTCATCACTCCTCCTCTACTTTGAATTCTAACAGGTTCACACAGATTCATGTGGAGAAGTTCCAAAGGTCTGGTAGTGCTCACACCCTTCTTTGCCTTGAAAGAAAATTTTGTTTGTTTGCCTTTTGCACAGGCATCACAGACTTTGTCATTTGAGAACTTCAACTTTGGTAGTCCGCGGACCAGGTCCCCTACAACAAGCTTGTTAAGAAAAGAGGTACTTACATGACCCAGTCGTTTATGCCAAAGATTTGCATCATCAGTTTGAGCACTCAGACATGACAAGTTGTTTCCCTTCAGACATGAACTTGACTTCATTTCCCTTATTGCAAATATGAAACACACTTAAGAGATTAAACTACAGACCATCCACATAGTGTACACTTTCTATGGAATGATCTACAGTTCTTCCTATTTTGCCAATTCCAAGAATAGAACTTTTCTTTCCGCTGCCAAAAGACACACCACCACCTTGGTGTGCTTCCAAAGAGAGGAAGTTAAGAGTATTTCCAGTCATATGCTTTGAGCATCCACTATTCATGTACCAACATTGACTGCCCCCTCTCTTCTACACAAGAATCACTTATTAGACTTGGGAACCCACTTCAGACGGAGTTCCCAATAACTATCAAAAGGCTTAATAAGAAACCTTCCTGTCCAGGGGGGAAAAGTGTTCTTACAGAAACGATAACGGGGACCAGGTCCCTTGAGTTCCCTTTTATCATTGTTTTCAGATCTGACAAATTTCTCATGCTTTTCTTTTGTTTTTCTCAGAGTCTTACACTTTTCTTTTAGATGACCATTACACCCACAGTGAGTGCACAACAGATTGTCAAATACAGACACATATTTGCAAGGAGGTTCTATTAGTCTACGTCCCAACCCTTTCTTTCCATTGAAACTCTGATTAGACAGATTAGAGAGTATCTTAGAAGAGTCAGTCCATTTTAGAGAGTGACTTAACTCTTCCTTGACCTTACTCAGATCCTTTCTCAGTTGAGAATTTGTTTCAAGAGAAGCAACTAACTTGGACTCAAGGATTTTGAGCTTTTCTTCCAGTTCTTCCTCAAGGATGCTAAGTTTTCTTTTTCCACCTACTGAGGTACCAGGTCCCTCACTGGGTTCCAGACTATCATTCTCGAGGATACCTATCCTGATACTCAGTTTAGACATGAGAGTAGAATTCTTATCTTCACACAAACTTAATTTTTTATTCAACATTAAGTTTTCAGTGGTTCGTTCATCAACACAATCAATAAGCAGAGCAACAAGTTTCCTCAAATTTTCAATAGGCAGATTATCTAGATCATCTTTAAGATAAAAAAGAGTTACCTCATCTGAATCCTCTTCATCATCAGAATTTGCCATTAATGAGAAGATGGAATTGAAGATATTTTCATCATCTTTAATAGCCATCATTGAAACATATTCATAGCTTTCTGCACTTTCTTCTGACTCACTTGAATCATTTCCCCATACAGCAAAGGCTTTTCTCACCAACTGATCAGCATGAGCCTTTCTCCGAGCACTGTCTGGGACCAGATCCCTCTTACGAGGTTTGAAGTTCTGAGTTTCCTGCTTCTGGCTGGGACAGTCCCTCATAAAATGACCAGGTTTGCCACATTTATGACAAAGGTCATTTGCGTTTGCTGGTCTGCTGGTCGAATCCTTCTTTTGAAAGACGTCATGTTTCTTGATGATTTTTTGAAACCTTTTCGTAACATAGGCCATTTGATCTTCCTCCTCAGTCGTATCATTTTGTGAGTTTTTTAGAGCAATAAATTTCTCCTTCTTTCCCTCCTTCATGTTTGTCCCCTGTTTTTTGTTCAGCTCGTAGGTCTAGAGATTTCCAATCAGCTCATCCATGGAAAGTGTCTTCAGATCTTTTGCCTCTGTTATAACATCAATTTTGCTTTTCCATGACTTGGGAAGAACCTTGAGAATCTTGCGAACTTGTTTGCTTAAGGGAATGGGCTCACCTAAGCATCTTAGTTCATTGGTGATGGAAGTGAATCTTGAGTTCATTTCAAAGATAGTTTCACCTTCCTTCATACAAAAATTCTCGTATTGAGTCGTAAGCATATCGACCTTAGACTCTTTTACTCGTTGTGTTCCCTCATGGGCTGTTTGGAGACAGTCCCATATCTCTTTGGCAGATTCACAGGCAGAAATTCTGTTGTACTCCTCCGCTCCAATCCCACACACTAGGATCTTCTTGGCTTTGTAATTTTTTTCAATCTTCTTCCTATCAGCTTCATTGTATTCTTTTCTTGTCTTGACCATAGAAGTGGTGGTCTCTCCATCCTTCACTTCCTTGACTGGAATGTAAGGACCATCAAGAATGATATCCCACAACTCAGTGTCCTCTGCATTGATATAATCATGCATACGATTTTTTCACCATCCATAATATTGACCATTGAATCGAGGTGGTCTGATCGAGGAATGTCCTTCCTCCATGTTAGGTGGAGCGGCCATTCCGTCAGGATCTTTCCTTTTCTTGGTGTTAACCAGAGAGAAAAGACTTGCTCTGATACCACTTGTTGGAATGTATGCGTCCACTTGTCTAGATGGGACCAGGTCCTCAGCACAGTTACAATAACAGAAAATAAACAAAGTGCTGAAAGTAAAGATTGCACAACAACTTTACGTGGAAACCTCCTTGCTCAAGGGAGTAAAACCACGACCTGGCCTGCCAGGACTTTTCAAACTTCTTTCACTAATCTTCTCCAAACAAAAGTAAAAGCAAGTTTACAAACCGAGATTAGCCTACTAATCCCAACTCTAAGCAATACCTCCTATTACTTAGATGAGCCAAAGCGGATACAACACCGCCCACTATACTAATCCTAACCGATTAATATAGACTTTTAGAGTAAGAACCTAAGTTACCCTTAACCTAGTTCTTACAATGATTCAAACAAGTTTGAAACGTTTCTTTCACAAAACGAATCCTACAATGTAAGCACTATTACAAGCAAACAAAGTAACAGCTGGTACACGAAGCTCTTGAAGTAATCGATCAGATCCCTTGTTGTTCTTGAAGCTCTTGAAGTAATTGATCAAGTCCCTTGCTGTTCTTGAAGCTTGAAAGACTCTCTCTTTGAATGAATTGATGATATTGTTGTCTTTTGTTTAGTATATACCACAAAAAGTTATTACCAAACGTACAAGCAACCTCCTTGCTTCTGATTGGTGAAGTACTCTGCAGCTTCTGACACAGACAGCTTTTACAGTTGTACCGCACTTTGACACTGGACGAGCATACTCTGCAGAGGACCAGGTCCCTGCACTTGTGAGGAGATCATCAAAACACCAAAAGGCATAAGCTCTTATCAATAAGTCAAGCAAAAGAAATGTACTTTGTCTTACATTCACATAATAGAAATGTAACTAAACTAAAAGTACCATCTTTTGGTACAAACTCAGAAGAGCCAAAATATGTAAAATCCCAGGAATCACATATTAATTCACTTCAAATAGATATATGGACTTGCACTTAACACTAATTACTAAAATCTTCTTACAATCACTCTCTATATATATTAATTCTCTTTACTGTAAAACACATATCTTAGTCTATTTAGTATGTAACTTGTAGCCACAACTTGTATTGGCTACTTGAATGCTTCAACTGTAACCTATCAAGACCTATGACTCACTGTATGAATAGTGGTGAATTTCAACATCCATCGATAGGTCTTCCATTAATTCAATCAAGGAAATAGCTAGTTAATTGAAGATTTGGAAAATTTTGTTTCTTTAGTTGATTTGGATTATTCCACATTCTGGAGAGGTGCTTCAGCAATAAAATACATGAGTTGGGGCACAATTTTATATAAGTAGACCACCGGTCCATTCCCCAACCTATGTGGGACTATAACTCACTCTAACCGTTTTAACTACAAGGGAGGGGCTATAATATTGATTGAGAAAGAGTAACACACAAAGTGACAGCTTATACTTCTTTATTCATTGGCTTCTGATGGTGTTTCTTGAATTCTCTAATATCCTAAAAATTCATTTTTCTTAGATAAATTAATGAAATGCTGCACCGAGTGTTTTACATTATCTGTTGTTTCATCACAGATAATAGTCCACAAATTTGCTTTGGAACATTGTATATGTATGTTTTGTTATTTGTTGTTTCACATATGATCATGTACAGATATGTCTCTGATCATAAACTAGCATTGAACTTACCTTCAGATGATTGCCTCGCAGTTATTTTTTCATTGATTATAACAAGAGTTCTGTTTTGTTTCCATACAGATCCTATTAAACTTCCTATGTTTGTTTATCTTTTTTTAAACATTTTCTTTTTAAAAATATTAATTCTCCCATATTTTCACGAAGCCATCAAGCCTCCGATTCTAACTTATTCCGATATAACATCACTTGATGACTCTCACACACACAAAATAGAAAGAATAACCAGAGATGAACAACAAAAAAGCAGCATAATGCCAAAAGCTCCTTTTGTTTTTTGAATATATTTTTTAAAAGTGATGAAAACAATGTATTCCCCCCTTGTATATATCCTTGGAAGTTTCACAAAACTAGCTGTTTCTTGCACATACATATTTCATCATGTAAAATCCCTTAGTGTCCTACAAATACTCCTTACAACCTACTAGACAAAACAAAGCAAAAAATCATTGTTTTTTCTTCTCTTTTACTTGTGGAAATGGAAGAAAATACTTATGAGATGGAAAGCGCTTCAACTCGTAGACCAAGATCAGTGGAAGATGAAGAGGACATATCTAAACATTATGTTCATAAAGTAGGGATGGAACTCCATAGGGATGATTACGAGGAAGATTATAGAGGATCATATGGAGGAGATGATCAAGAAACGAAGCCAACAAAAATTGAAGTTTTTGGATGGCATTTGTATGGGATGTGCTCCTACTTCATTCACACTGTATTGATTCCAATTGTGTTTCCCCTCATAATTAGCCAGACTTTGTATTGGCCACAGCAACCTCAGCTTGGCATTGTGAAGAATGCCAAGGGATTGGAGTGCAGACAAAGGGAGTTAGAACTGTAAGTCCATAAACTATTAGTCGTTTTGACAAACTGAACCTGTTTGAAAAAATTTGATGTTTTAGAGGGGAAACAGAACTACTGTTTTTCAGATTTGTCCATACTTTTTCAAATAGTGAAATATTAACTAAGTACGCGATAATTTATACAAATACTCTTATGGTAAAGGTCATGTTATATAGGATAAAAACACCTATACATATGTTTTGTTTCTTAAAAAGGAAGGAAAGATAAATGATAAGGAAACATAGTTGGTGAAGCACTGGTGATACTTCTTTTATGTTTGCATCATTAGAACAGAAGAATACTTTTTCCTGACTTTCTGACATAATTTACCTTGAAGAACTAACCTAATAGTATATAATATACTTACAATCCATGTATAATATGTGTATAATTGTGTATAATCTATGTCTACCAACTAGGAAAAGTAAACAGTGAATATGACCAGCTATCCTCTAGTAAGCAGTATTCCGTTTCGTTTTCCATTTTTTGATGTAAATTACATCTAATCAGTATTGTGTATAACCAATTTAATATTATCTATTATTTACATATTGCATTGGAGGTAAAAAAAATAAAAGAAACATGAAACAGACAGTGATTAGTTTAGCTTATATCTACTTCCAGGTATGAAATGTTAACAAAACACAGAATGAATCTCGCTGGTACTGAGTATTCAGCACTAGAGTGGACTTCAATATCTTGGATAATTGGCCTAATTCTAGCAGCACCAGTTCTGGGATTTCTTTCGATCCACCTCGACTATGGCAGGAATCAACAGCTCATTGCAGCTGCATCGACAGCCATAGGAGGTTTGTTCTGTCTTCCAGCAGGATTTTTCAAGACTAGATGGATTTTTCCACCTTATATTGCTGCTATTGTTGCTGCCAATACCATTGTTTCATCCTGTCATGCCCGCCACCTTGGCCTAATGGTACGAGGCCTCGTTGGTTCACCTATCCGAAAAAGCCAATTCCGGGATAGAAAAGCTGTTGCTAGTTGGCTTTCCCTTCATTCCACTGCAGCAGGCTGCTTAGGTGCTGCTCTTATGTCTGCTTTTACTTACCATATGCTCAGGAAATCTGATAGCTTTACTAGCTTGTGGGTTGTGTCTATCTTTAGTGGCCTAATTTGGTTTATTGGAATGGTTCACATTGCTACCTCGAATCGACCTGGTCAAAATGCAGACTTGCATACCAATTCTGCTCCAAAAACTCATGTCGTTTCGATTTTCAAGTACCCTCATGCAGCTGGAAGTCTTGCTGGTGTTTTCCTTTCATCTTTCACAACAATGTGCATTTTCACAGCAGGGGTTCTTTATTCGATCGGAGACCTTTGCATACCACCAGTAAACATATTATACCTATGGCTCACCTATTTCATCTTCCCATTAGTCTCCCTTCCACTTACTCATCCATTCCAACAACTTATAAGAGCTGATGCAGTGAAAATGCAACTTCTTGGATTCATACTATCAGCAATAGTCTCAGGATTCGGATTCTACTATCGCCACGACAACTGGAACAAAGTTCACATATTCATCTTTACTGCAATACAAACAACTGCCACAGGGATTTTACATGCATTTGGTAGAGTCCTTTGGCTAGATTGCTCACCATCAGGTAAAGAAGGTGCTTTCTCAGTTTGGTTCTCTTGGATAAGAGCCTTAGGGGCTTGTGCTGGTTTTGCACTTGCATCAACTTCACCTCAAAACATTGAAATGTCATTTGGTGTTGCATTTTGTGCTGCAATTCTTGGAAAAATCATTCTAATCTTTGGGAATATTAGTAACTTTGGAGGTGCAAAAGCTGCAGGACATGTTAAAGATAGTGAAAGAGGTTCACCAGTGCCTACTGGCTTAGATATTGGTGCTGAAATCAAGGAGACAGTGTCAACAGAAGTTCAAGAAGAAGTAAAAGTTCAAATCTAGTGATGTATTTTAATGTTACTACTAATATTTTTTTGTGTGTTGTTTTGCCATTTTTTTTGTCTTTTGGCTTGATCTGTTTTCATGGTTGCTTCAAAAGAATATTTTTACTTACATTGGTGCATGAACAAAGTGTATGTAATATCTTCTTAATGTATGTATCGTTGATTTTATCTGGCAATCTGTTGAATTCCGGAAATCATGTATGGTCAACTTGAATTTGGGAATTTGAAAAAGACATAATACATAAATATGCCGTTTAATTTAGCCTCGTTTCACATTTATGTCCTTCAACTTTGGATGTGCACAAGTAGACAGTGGCGAAGCCAGGATTTTCAATAAAGGGGTTCAAAATCTGAAAAAATAGACACACGAAGTAGCCGAAGGGGGGTTCGAATCTACTATATATACC